TCTATGCTACTTCCAAGCCACCCTCATTTTGAGCAAGGTTTCCCAAATCTGCCAAGAACCCCAAGTGATTCTAAAAGCCTGTCCCCCTTGGCCCTTCCTCGAGACTCTGAGGAACCACATTGAACAGGCACCCGGGTGGCATTCATAAACAGGAAACGTTGAAAACACTGACCTGAGTAGCGATCAGTTCAGCCACACAAATCTGAACTGCAACAACATGATTTTAGGGCTCTGGCCTCCGCAGGGAGAGTGACAAACAGTCTCCCCTAAAGTTCCTGGGTTCCTCCTAATGAAGGCAATCATTGAGTTACTGCATTCTGAGACCAGGGACTTACTCATGGTAGCACCACACCTGTCGGCACCTCAGAAAGAAAAGGTGCCCACAAAACCACAGCCTGCATCCGAGACCGTTTCCCTCAGGACAGGTCTTAGGCTTGTCTGCGATGACCCCACATACAGTGCATGAGGCAACTGAGGAGGCAGTAAGTTAGTATGCGTGCCCACAGCCACAGACGTCTCTGGGTGACTTTGGCCAGCACATCGAAGGGCCATCCCGTGCCACAGTGTGCAACACGGGTTTTGCTAGGGGCACACACATATGGGGCATTCAGGGTCAACCGCAAAAAGGTGCCCACCTGCCGAGCCCTGGGCCCCAAGCCCTCTGAGAAGAGCTGTGGGGCCGACCGCCAGTATCCTGCGCACACTGTCCACAGCACGCCCGTCCTCACAGCACTGCACGGGCGGGGACTTCACATTTGCTTCTGTGACCGACTGGTGTGTCCCCTCCCCCACCCCCAGCCTGTAAGCCCACCCAGTCGTTTCCTATGACCATTTCTATCGCTATTTCTCCCGAATTAGCTGCCAAGAGCAGAGCCTGGGACACAGACACTGAGTGACAACATCAGAGCACAAAAAAGAGGCCAGTGCTGTCTCCCCAGGGCCTAAAGTGAGACCCAGGGACCCAGCAGCCCTGGCCTGGCACCTAGGTGACAGGTGAGAATGTGTGTGGCTGCAGTGCAGTGACAGCACACACCTCAGCAGCAGGGTCGGAACATGGACACAGGCGCACAGGAGACACAGCCAGGGACACCCAGAAATGCCAGCCCTGGGTTAGGCCACGGGGCTGGAGTCAGCAATGTGAGTTACTAGCTCCGATAGCACCCTCAATCAGCACCCTCCAGCTGGCCCAAAGGCTCACGTTGTCAGCATAAAGCACCCCACAGAAGATAAGGGTGACAAAGCAAGGGTGCTGATTTGTTTACACAGATCACTGTGGGTCACCCTCAGTGACAGCAGGAAGTGACAACAGACTGTGTGAGTGAGCCAGGGACACAGAAGTGATAGCGCTAGCAGTGAGGAGTCAAACAGGGGAATCACCAACAGACCAGCCCTCCACAGAACTCCACAGGGTTCTGGGCTATTAGGAGAAGGTGTGATTGTTTGGATGACAGAGCGCCTGCTCGACAGGGCAGGAAACACACAACACGTTCTAGACAAGAGAACAATTCAACTAGTCTAAAGTCAACAGCCTAGATCTGCTGGAGAGACAAAGATGTATTACCTTGTAAAGAAGTTACTAAATGGTCCCAATATTTTCAATTTACTCCCCTCCTCAATTGCACCAACACACTCCTGCCGCTGTAGGTCATGGGTTTCCTTGATGGAGCTCAAGGTGACATCGGTAAACTGGGGGTCATCATCATTCTCCAGGGTCACGATGGCACTGGAGCTGCTCGTGACCACCAGGTCCAAGATGTCCTCATTGCTGACGGACAGCGTGGTTGACAACTCTGTGCCGAGGCTGGACACGCTGCACACGGAGACATTGTCGCTGCGGTTCAGGGCTTTGGTGGTGGGGCTATAGAGCTTCACCGTGTCATAGCCTGTCCTGGGGAACGTGGAAGACTTCCGCACACTCTGCTCCCGCTCAGCGCTGGTGGNAAGAGGAAATGACGCCTCACGTCCAGATGACCGTGGTCCACCTTCTTCTCAGAAGTTTCCTCTTGGCATTTCCTTCCCCTCTTGCTCTCCCAGCCGGGGCCTCTGCAGAGGATCACATGAGGTTGCGTCCACTCCAGGGCAGTGCCCCAGAGCAGGGCACCACTGTCCCACACAACTCCTTCACAGTGGGCCCCACAGTGAGTCCCACGGGGAGGGCTATTTGGCACAGCTGTCCCCCCTGCCAAACTCTCGAGGATGGAGTGCTCTTCACAAATGCGAGTTTGCTTATACCCAAGGCCAGTCCACCAAGGCAGTGCCCGTTGTAACAATGCCCCCCGGGACGGAACTGCTGCCTTCCTCTCCCCACCTGGCATGCGAGATTAGAATGAAGGCACGTCACCTCCTTTCATCAGCCCTCGCAGATGCAGCTGGAACACGATGTGGTCGCCCAGGGTACAGCTTCACTGTCAGACAGACTGGGGTGAAGGAGGAGGGGAGCTGACCCCTCCAAATGCCATCGCCAACCAGCCAGAGGACCATAAGCCTGTTTATCCACACAGTGGAGACACCCCAACTACCCTCAAGCCTTCCGTCTTTCCATCTTGCTCCGTTAATTCCTCCACCCACCAGCGTCTCCCTCATCCTTCCTCCTCACTGTCCATCACCCTCCAGATGTCCCCCCACCCCTTACTCAGCCTAAAGGCTGGGTCCCACGTTTCCACGTGCCCTCGACTCCCGACTGCCTCTCATTTCACTGCACTCACTTAGCAAAACCACAACCTGCCCACGTGCACCTGCGCAGGAGACACACCGGAGAAGAGGACCAGCCTCGCGCGGCCCTGGAAGCTCCCCTGCGACCACAGTCCCTAGCCTCCACTCTGCACTCACCTAGGTGACTGTCACACCTCTTCCTCACTCCTCTCACCCAGTCACTGCAGTCCCATCCTCACTGTCAGCTGAGGACCTTACTTCCTAGTTCCCCGAACAAGTGAAGCAACAGAAAGAACTTCCACTGACGTCACCACACGCTGGCGAGGACGTGGAGCGGCAGGAGCCCTCTCACGCTGCTGGGAGTGCAGACGGCACAGCCGCTCGGGAAGGCAGTTTGGTGGCTTCTCACAAAACTCAACACGCTCTATCCTTCAATCCAGCAATCGGGCTCCTTGGTGTTTACACAAAGGAGCTGAAGCCCAACGTCCACACAAAACCCTGCGCACAGGCCTCTGTGCTGTTCCTCTAGTGCACTAAGCCTGCCCGGGCCCCTCCCCTGCTTGCGTCACCCTGTCCTCCCAGGTATCCATCCTCTTGGTTAACCTCCTTACCTCCTCAGGTCTCTGCTTACATCTCTCCTCCTCACTCACCTGACGGGCACTGCTTTGGTGGCAACTCTGACCAGCCTATTCTGTGACCTGCCTTCTCTGGTCCTCCCAGCCCTCCCACCACCTCTACTTCCTCATTTCCTCCACAGCACACACTCCTCGCTGCATTTATCTATCTATTGATTGGGGTTATTACCTGCCTCCTCCCACTAGAATATAAGCTCTTTGAGGGCAGGGTCCTTGTTTTGTTCACAAATGCAACCCAAACACCTGCCGTGCCGTGGCGTATGCTGGGTGCTCCGTAAATACTGCTCGGAAGACTATATGAGAAACATATTCAAGGACATAGCACAAAGCTTGGTGCACTGCAGGCACTCGACAAATAATCATGGCTATGACTTGCTGCCCGAGAAAACCAAGTCCAGCAGAGCACAGGGCGCCTGCTCTGAGCACAGCCGTCCTGCCGACAGACGGGCTCTCCGAACAGTGAACAGTGTCTGCAGTGGGAAGCAGGCAACCTCCCGCGTGTCCAGAACACACCCAGCTGGCTTCCTGTGGCTCTCGTCAGCCATGTTTGCAGAGGGACACGATCTGCATGCTCATCAAACTCAAAGGACAGCCTCAAAGCTCACCTGGAGTTACAGAGACATCTCTAGCCACGGTCACTGATGACCTCCCAGGTGCTACAATAGCTGTGAAGATCAGTGGTTAGAAAGGAAGCACAGGCTTTCCATAATCAAAGAGGCTGAGCTGCTGAAAACCCAGCTGGTGCAAGAATTCACAATGGGGGGAACTGAAAACCTTGGGGTGGGGAGGTCAGTATAGACTCAGCGGGCCCAAGGAAAGGGTGTGTGCCTGTGAAAACACTTAAGCAGAACAGAAAGGAGTACTCTGAAGAATGGAGACACTCACACACCTTCAGTTTATAATAATGGCAACCACCCTACTCGTTTTCTTGATAAAATCTTTCCTGCTTCTGTCATGCTCAAGGCCTCCTCCCACAGGGAGGCAGGCGCCTGTCCCTGACTCTGCTCTGTCGCTGTTCTCCTCCCCACAGCCAGCCCTGGAAGGTCAACTGCACAGCCAGCAGGCAGTAAGCTGCAGGCGTCAGGCCTCAGAGCTGACCGGAGCCTCACTCCCACTTTCCAATGCCTGCATGACTCTGACACTCCGGGAGGAACAGGCTTTCTCAAGCTGCTTGCCCACGATGCCCTCTTCCTTCCCTCCAAGGAGCTCCCGTGCCCCGAGACCACGGGCTGACCTCCCTGCCCTGGTTTAGCGTCTCCTGGCAGCTTCCAACCACCCTTCTGCAGAGCACCCATCAGCTCCACCGACACGCCTGCAGAATCTCCACTGCTCCGGATGGCAGCCCACTTCCTCTTGCTCTCCCAGCCCAGAAAGGGGGACCTTTCTGCTCACGGCACACACTTACCAGAGGCAGTGTAGTGCCTTCTGCAGAAAGGGCATGGAC